TTCTCATTATCCTGCTCTGATTTGATTGGTAGTAAGTTAAATTAATTTTCCCCAAGTCAATTCTGTTTTGCCCATGACAGTAATTGCTGAGTGATCTCTCCCTGTCCTTATCTCGACCCACAAGCTTACCGTCATACTTTCTCTCCACTGTCCAGCTGAGAAGGGGAGTGATAGAGCAGCTTTGGTGGGCACCTGGTGTCTGGCCAAGGTCAACCCACCACACCAACCAAAAAAAGAAAGCCTGCGAAGTCACTCAAATTCTTATTTGCCAACAATTTTAAGGTAAAGAGCATCTTGAACAGAGATGCAATGTATACTACTGTAAGAAAGATACGAACCTGAGACACTATGCATTGTGTTAGTGATGCTACTCATTACTTACATTACTCATTGTTTAGGATACTCCATAAATTACTAGTTTTCACTTATCTCGCAGGCTCTTATTCTTGCTTTCCTGGCTTGGGACAGTTTATCTGTGCAACACCTTCCCTCCCCTCTTCAAGCACCAATCTGGCCTCTGCAAAGCAGCACCGTACAACTCCTGTTGTTACGCTGCTCAACAATAACACCCAGAAACCTTTTCCTGATACTGTTGCTGCACCTCTGCCTTGTGAGGTTCATGGCTGCACAACCTTCCCACGCCCGGGCGAAAGCTCTCACACTGAGCATACAACAGCCACAGCAAGTGGCTGTTGTTCTCCATAGACAAATGTCCCAATTTCTTCTGCTGAAACCTGTATTCGTCTCCCCTGTCCTGTGTCCAGTCCTCAGTCTCCTCATCCCTCACTTCACAAGTCTCGGTACAGGGAGATTATAACTGCTCCTATCCCTTTCACTTTGAAAAACACTATAGGCAAATCTGGTCTTTGGGCGTACTAGTGGACAAACCTCCCCAAACTCTCAGTTTTTTTATTCTATCTGAGAAAGGAGGACTCAGGAAGAATATTCAGAAATTGGCTGCATGGCCATCCTGTGGTAGGTGCTACCAGTGTCAGCCCCAGCATCGGCCAAGCCTGCGCCTCCTTAACAAAATGAAAAAATACTGTTTCTGTACAAGAAAGTTGGCAGGCGTCGCAAATGCTTTAAGTTATTAGTTGCTGAGAAAAAGCTAAGTAAGCATACTGTGCTCTTTGAATCAGGTACATGTTGACAACGTCAGCTCTTAAACTGCAACATAAAGGATTAGGCCAAACCAAACATGGGGAGGCTGTGAAGCTTAGTGTGGAGCACAGGGACCTGCTGTCAGATCGGGCCACTTTCTTTGCATTTTGCCTTTGGCAAAACTGACTGTCTATTCCAGAGGCCCTCAGTGAACCTGAGCAACTTGTATTGGGCTTTCACTCACAAATGATTTTCACTCTGTTCACTTAAGCCTCCAAAAAATCCCTCTTCCTAATATCTGTTCAACCACTCCTCCTGCCAGCCTGATCTCAGTATGTCTTTGAAGAAACAAGAGACCTTCTCATATTGCCTATCTTGTCTGTAGAAAGATCAGAAACAGCAGAAATGTGTAGCCATATTTCATAGTCCAGGATCGGTATCATAGCTCTGAACTGTTGTTCAAAGTTAAAAGAGATATTAAATTCAACCTGCTATGGGTCTACCCAAAACCTAAGAGGCTTCTTTTTAAAAAAAAAAAAATTAATACATATTCTCCTTATATGCATTACTGGACACATAGTAAGACCAAAACTGATGATGTCCAGTGGCTGTCAACATAAGGAACCAGCCAAACACTTGGGTGAGCTCCAGTAGAGACTTTAGGGAACAAACTAGATAATCTGGTTTGTGTTCTTGACTGTGAAGATGCACCAACTCCTGTCTCAGAGTAGAGGAGCTGGCTAGCCCCTTGGGATCCCTCGCAGCTCTTAATTGAAAGGAGTCTACCCAAGAGGAATCCAACAGCCCGAGCAGATCACCCAGTAGGCTTCTCAAAGTATGTGCCAAGTCACGCACTAAGCATAGCCACTATTACCTTCTCCTACCCTTGGGGACGGGGATGGAGATGCCGAAGCTGCGGAACGCCGAGGAGTTGACTGCACAGATCCGGGTCCCCCCACATGGAAGACCTCCTCAGCAGCGGGCTGTCCGCTTTGACTCTGGGAACTTGGCCCGCCAACCCCAAACAAATCGTTCAGCAAGTCTGAGTTAGAGGGGGCAGCAGTAGGCTGTGAGGGAAAACTCTTGCTCATAGGGCTACCATCCAGGCCCAGCAGGTCCACGTCTTCAGGCGGAGGTGGTACCGGAGGCTCTTGCTGCTTTTTGCTGTGTTTTGGTGTCCCATGAGGCTTGTCACCACTGGCATTACTGTGCTGACTGGAAAGGGACAAGAGTTCGTCATCTGACTGTTCGCTTTCCTCATGCACCAACGCTGCTCGATCCTCTGAGGTGGGGTGAGAGCTACTTTTGTCAGATTTCTGATCTAAATGATGATTAAAAATAAAATTAGGTAGCTGTTAGTTTTGTCATCACAAAGGTCCCATAAAAATCAGCTTACAAGCAGAACAAAAAGCTGCTGAGAATACCACAGCAGCATTTTACTAGATTTTAAAATAAGAGTCCTTTGCAAAGATTAAGTTCAAGTCTTTGCTGGTCTGTGTTGTAAGGAGACAGCTTTATTGATCAGGAAACAGAGATGGAGGTTAAGTGACTCTCCTCAAGCCTGAAGAGCCAGCAAGTGCAACGCCCACAGATACAAACTGAATGAGTTTCTGGATCAGGACCAAGCATGCAGGATGATCTCCAAGCATGCCTCAAAATCCAGGAAAAATTAGGCTCGTGGTAAAGGAGTAGTGACAGAAACCACCCTCCTAGCTGTGCCCACGAGGATCTTTTACACCAGCTTCCTACCGAACGTGGCACTGGTGCCAGAGGAGGAACGCGGCGTTCAGCAGTGCTGTGAGATTTTCAAGGCGTTCAGCATTATTAAACAGCCTCTCAGACAAACATTCTCGGTGCTACATTCTCATAGCACTATATAGAAAGTGTAACATTAGGAAAAAAGCAGCTTAAATTTGGTTTTGGCGCCAAGGAGGCCTCGGGCAAAGCTTTACACCAGACCTATGTCAATAATTGTCATGTACGGCACAAGCAGGCTATGTTTGAAGAGGACGTCGTAGGAAATAAATTCCCACTCCATTGCAACATAAGGGTGGGACCAGCAATACATCGTGATCTAATGGGAAAGACATGTTACAATCAGATCCTTCAGCCCGACTCTGTGCTCCAGGGAGGGGGAAAAAAGTTGTTTATTGTGTTCAAAGCAGATTTTACTTTGAAGACCAAGTCTGCATACCTTGCCAGCTGAGAGATGAGAAGAATGCACTCTGTCCAACATTTCTTATGTTATCCTGGGGTGAATCAGTGGGACCTCTGCCTGCCGCACAGAGCACCAAATAAATAAAATCAAGCAAAACGAAGTTCAGCATGCAGGTAAGTATGTAAATTGAATAAATCTATGCAGCTCTTACCTGCCAAAGCAAGAGTGTCCTGATGCTCCTGATGAGAGGAGAAAAGAATGGTTGGATTGATGTCTTTTGTTGTGAAGTTCTCCCATGGGGGAGTTAATTCGGTTTGTCTGTCAGTAGACTGTATTTCTATCTCCAGTATAACATGAAAGAGCTGAGGATATTTGTCTGGAGAGTCACAGGCATCCAGTTCAGGCCTAAATGGGGACGAGAGTTGTACAGTTAAAAAGGAAAGGCTATTTCTGCAAAGCTATATAAAGTCTTCCAATATATGCATGGACACAGACTTTTCACATTTCATCTGTGAATATTCTCCTTCAGTCTTCATAAGGCTTTTATGCTTCAGGTTTGATTAATATTCAGCTTAAAATACTCACTTGGTGAATTTTAGTGTGGTTGTTCCCAGGGCTATGAATCCAGTATGAAATTGAATTTGGAATATTTGTGTGTTGGTCATCTGAAAAAACAGAGCACCAGACTGAACAAGTGCTTAAATTCATGAAATTAAAATATTTGTTGTAACATGTAGACAGTTAGTTAAGTCTACCTTACTACCAGTTACTATATAGACTAATCATAACTGCTATATAAGCTAATTCATTCTGCTTATTGTAAAGAAAGCAGAGCTTTTCCTTCTCAAACCCAAATATTTCCATCTGCCTTAACCCCTGCCGCTGCTGCCTCCATACAGCAGAGTGCCTTCACAGTGTTCAGGAATACGGCTTCTTTCCCTGCTTGTCTTTATTTCTTCGATCTACTTGACAATTTAGCAGTTAAATGAAACCGGTATCTGTTGCCACTGAATACATTGGAGCAACAGGTTTGTACCCCAGGAAAATATCCGACCATTTCACTTGCAGCAGAGGATTCAGTAAGATGTCATCTGTACAGCAAATACCACAAATAACAAATTAAGAGGAGAAAAACATTCGTTGGTCACTCTGCAGCTTGAATATTAAGAGTTCAAACATATCAGCAGG